AACAGATGCTTTTTAAATGCACTTGAAAATAATGTCAACGGGTTCACACAAACAAGCCTGGCATGAATAATATATGCACATGAACCCTGTTTGTGCACGATTTTAACACATTGCATCAGTATGAATTATACTCTCGGGGTTCAAAGATTCACTCCTCTACCAGCACCCCACAGATTTGATGAATTTGAGCGATGCCATGCTGTGATGCGGTTTAACATTGACACGAAAATGTTTCCATTATGTCAGCATCACTTTTTAGTTTCTCGGCTTTTTCCCCCTCGCCCCACCGTTTTCATTGCCACATTAGACTCAGCGTTAGAGTATAATGTCTCCATACAGGTTGTATAAATATAAAAAAAAATCATCAAAAGCTTGCACGTACGATTTTATTTGTGTCTCAATATACATGATTCGGTTAACAATCAAGCTAATACTTATGGCCCTGACACATGTTACATCATTGGCCATGGTGACTGCTGGATGGAAAGCCAACCTACGCTCACGATTCTGCGATGTAGTGATCCACCTTGCGCAGCTCATTGAATAACATGAACAGAAAGCACATGTGCATACTCATTCAACAAATTATGGATATGGAATGAAAAATGAAGAATCTGAATACCATAAGCATTTTGCACATGTGAGTTTATTGTTTTTGTGATGTTTTTTGTTTCCGAGGCAACACAAGCTTCCGTCATCAGGTGGGACAACCACAGCTGATGACGGAAGCTTGTGTTGCCTCTGAAACGTCGTGATTTAATTTAGTTATTTTTATTCTTTATTGTTATTCTTATTTTTTATTTTCACCTACGTGACTTTACCGAAAGGTGGGACAACCACAGCTGATGATGGAAGCATGTGTTGCCTCCGAAACGTCGTGATTTAATTTAGTAATTTTTATTCTTAAATTTTTCACCTACATGACTTTACCGAAAAAACCAAAGAGTATAGAATACAACCTGATTCTCAAGCGCAGCGAGTTGGTTGTCTCAGCCCGACCACCAATGGCTTGCAGACACATAAAACCATCACATTAAAATAGACTTTGTGTATAGTGTGGCTATATTTCAGCTCTCTCAAAACTAAAATCTATTTTTTACAAATCGATTCTTTAGCTCATGACATAATGAGATATCACAAATGGAATAACATTGGAAAAAATACCCCAAATTATATATATGTTTTAATAAATCAAATATTTTATTTGGACTGCAGGAAGAATTCGATTAGCTATGAAGCTCTTCATCAAATATGTCCAGTAGGGGCAGGTCAACAAGTTACATCAACAATACACACACAAAATAGAGAAATAGAGAAAAGGTAAGAAAGTCACTAAAAATAAATATTAAACAAATAAATAAAGTATCAGTCCAAATTTCATGTAAATTCCTGCTGATTTTTCAACACAATGCAAGCTTGGTCAAGGCAGCAAGAGAACAACCAAAACATCCCCAGGCCACACCAAGAGAACGCACAGTAGTCCCTCAATTAAATTCCACATGAAAATTGAACTATCGACACATGGGCAAGCATCAAAGTTACAAATCACATTTCTCAATGTGGTTGTATCCAGCACCGATCTTCTGCTTCAGGATATGTTTTGTTAAAGGACGATCTAAAATGTTAAGGGAGAAAACAAGAGGGTCCTCTGCTGCCATTGGCATTAATGCAGCTCTTCTGCCTCACGTGGAAATCACCGTAGGGCTTTGGGAATGAATCGAACAAGTGATAATTCCGTGCCAATGATGCCATGGCCAGTCGCACCATTCGGACCACTCGAAGAAAAATGGTGCCATCACTAAGGTCGACAATTTCAGACGAAAATATATTGAAAAAAAAAAAAGACGAATGCTGCACTGCACCTCATCCCACCCCCTGTCCCGAAAATTGCTGTTTCAGTAAAACAATCTGCACAAATGGGAAATGTGGAACGTTATGTGTCTCCACCCACACCACCCACGTCGCTCCTAGTAGCACGATAGCACTGCGCATGGCTGAGATCCCTCACGGAATACAAGACGGGGACCAGGAGGGAGGCTTGTGGAGAGGTGAAGGCGTTGGGAGTTGTTGGGGGGGGGGGGGGGGGCTTGTGAATAGATGAGGAATTGTTAAGAGTTGTCAGTGGGATGGTGGATGAGCTGTGGGGGGAGGGGGAGCTAGGGCTGATGGATCAGGATTAATGTTGCTTGTGGAGGGCTCCCTGTGGTCGTGTTATGCATTCAAGATGAGTTCCTCGTTATTGTAGCTATAAGAAATATACGTATTTGTGTTGCTAATCCAAGGCCCCCCAATATTCAAATATGCTCAAAATGTCCCCCCCCAATATTTGGTTTAAAAAATTGTATTGCTATGCTATGTAAATAAAACAACAATTTGCTAAACCTTGGCCACAATATCTGGACTTGTCTTCATATAAATCAATGCATAGATTTATGTTCATATGATTCTGGTTATGGTTGTACTAATCTCTGCCATTACATACAATGAAGCAAAAAATGGTAAAAAAGTAAAAACAGAACAATGTAATACAATACACGATTCAACATTATTGTAAATAAAAAAACGTCCATCCCATGTGTTAGTGAATTTTTAAATAGTTTAGGCAGGAAATAATTTTTCAAATGTAGATTTTTTTCTGGGTTGGGACCCCCAGACACCCTGGAAGATTTAGTCCCCCCCAATGTTGACTCCATGGCTACGGCCTTGTGGTAATCCACGATGCTTTCACAACTTGAAAGTGTGTCCTTTTGTGTTTTGTTAAGAAAATCTCATCAATGCAACCATGGACAAACACGATTGTGTGTTGACATTAGTGGAATAAGTTTGAGCTTTGTTCAGTAGTGATTGTGTGGTGTGGTGGTGTAGTGGTCATTGGAGGTGTATTGAGTTAGCCAACCAGCAATTTAATGTCATGCTTCGATTCCATAATATATATTTTACATTATGGTGAATTTAGCGGCCACTATTGGCACCATAGATCCTGTAAACCCATTATATTCAGCATATACCAATTTAAACACACTTGTTATTGCACACTTGATTGCGTACATTTATCGTGAGATTCATTATTTATTTCAATCTATTAATTCTGTATCGTTAGTGTTGAGATCTGCAAATTAGATCAATTGTTGGCGACGATGCAGAACGCACCCGGTATCCGAAGTTCGATTCCCTGCCACAGTTGAAATTTTTGGTGAATAATGCCTCAATCAGTCCTGGGTCGACCTTACATTCATCATCATCATCAAATGAGTAACCTGGTGCAGTGCCGGATTAAGCTAGTGCGGGGCCTGTAGTATATGTTATAAAGGGGCCCTAAATAAAAAAACCCCGTAAATATTAAACCACATACATTTCTCACTTGCATAGTTAAGTAATTGTATTTTTCCATTTGCTATACAGCCAGGTAATACGAAAAATCGCAAACCCTAAACACCCAGTCGTTCATAAAAGTTGAAGGCAGTATAGTACTATAGTAATAGAGCAAGTGCAGAATCACTGAACCGGAATTGATTGCTTGAAAGCATTTAGTACGAGGCCCTTGAAAGTGCGGGGCCCGTAGCATTTGTAGCTCCTCTTGCTACTGGGATAATCCGGCACTAATCTGGTGCAGTGTGTTAACCTCAGCGCTGGGGAGACAGAGCCCAGCCAGGCGCGTCTCTGGCCACATCGCCCCCTCATGCGCCACGTCGGCCTCAGTAGGCACTCACAACATTTGCTCCAACGCTCTATTGTAGATTGTCTGAGGGGGATCTTTATCTTTGGTGTGTTGACTGAAAATCCACGTAAATTTTTTGGAAGCTATCTTTCGCGGGTTGTTTCACCTGTTAAGGAGTCACAAATGAAACCTTCATACTAATTTATTAAAACCGATAAACTTCAGCCTTTGTTATTCATAAGAGGTTGCAGCAATCGTTTATTTATATTTTTACTGCACAAGTAATATTTATAAGGGATAAATAAGCGATGCCAATGAAGCATAATAAGTCAAACAGATTGACTTTCAAGAATTCCAGTCCCACATGAATGCGTGAATGTTGCCACATGTATTCTTGGAGATTGTGCTTGGCAGGAATGTATCTCCTGACTCGGTCTGTTTAAAACCCCCAGAGGAACCCACAGGCTGCAGTTAATTTATACAAATTGTACACTTAGCAATTGTGGCTCAAGCATGATTGTATATCCAATTGCAGATACAATACTTGGATGCAATGTTTACTCGACAGTAAGCTGTTAGCATCCCCTTAAAGTTGTGCACAGAGAGTTAGTGGGGAAGCTTCAAGTTTGTCAACAAAGTGCGAATTTATAGAACAAAAAATCATAAAGTATATTTGAGGAAAGATGACTTTGAGTAATTGTTCTGTCAGAAAATGCATTTGCTAAATGTTACCTTTGAGGTAGTGTAAAGCTTCAAACTGGGTCAGCAGTTATTGGCTGTGTAGCGCAACACAGAAGAACACAACGACAGTGTTCAACGTAAAACAATATTCATGAACACATATCATCACAATTGCCATATATAGTTGCAACAACATTTAATTGTAATATATATTCAGGGCAGAGTAATGAAGGATAACATTTGGAGCTGGTTTCTACGTGGGAAAATATTTTCTCCATATTCAGGATGTTTCCATCCAATAATTTCGTTCGCTATTTAAATTTAAACTTCTCCCAATTGCGCCTTAATTGCATTATGGGTATCGGGTTGTCGTTTGGAACGCTCACATTGAACAGTGCACCATCTAGTGTCAAAGAATGGCCGTGGAAGGAAGAAGACCACAACTTCCAAAAGTCTCTTCAATATGCCTCGTTATCGACACTCGAAGATGCGTATTTTAAATGCACTGCTAAGAGTACAGCAGAAGTCACATCGCCCTCAAACCAACACTTGAATTACTCTTCTCAGCAGTTGATCGTACTTACGGTGGTGCACACAACAGCTCTACTGGTGACCCCCCCCCCCCCCTAATCTGAGAGGAGCTGGAGCCGGGCCTGGTGAAACCCCACGTGTAATATCATGCTTTATGCACGGTCGGTCATCGATGACTGGGGCTATAACCACCAAATAGTTCACTTGAGACTTCAATTTAATCAACTGCCTGGGTACAAACCCAGAACCCCAATGGTGCCAGCTCATTGCTCCATTGCAGTATTCGCAACTCCCCCCACCCCCATCAGAGCTGCTGGGGCCACCTCGTCATTTATTTTGTGTTTGTTGTCCTTCCACCGCACCTGCGATGAGCACGGTTGACTACGCGTGGGGAAGTTCAACGTACATAAGACATTCTCGATTCATTGCGAACGTGCCACTCTTGCAAACGATAGGTCTCATGATTGAGCATTTCATATCGTGCCCTAATAATGTCACGTGATTACTCCACAATACAAATTCACCTTTCAGCATCTTCTGTGTGCATGGGGCAGCCACTAATCCTCCCCGTGGTGCAGCTGGCTCGCTGAGATTTTGGCAATGTGCTCCAAGCCCTGAAATTCCGTTGACCATGTCCGATTTGCGTGGCGAGTTACAAATGCCAGGCGCGAAAAGCGGTGGTGAAACGCGTGTTAGAAGAGGTGACAGGACAAAACAAAGAGACGTGAGCGATTGATTGATTGATGCCGTGCAAAAAAAAGTATTAGATCTATTGCGTGTCTGCATTTCCGCCCTGGGAACATTGTCAGTCTTCGTGAAAGTGGTCCACGTGACATGACACCAACTGCTGCCTGTAAAAAAGTGCATTTGCAAGAGTTATCTGGCACAAACCAGGCTCTGCTGACGTGTGTGATATAATGGTGGGTAAGGACGTTGAAGTGTGTTTTGGAGTTAACTGACCGTGCACATGATTAACTCCATAGGCTGGTGCAGCGGGTGTGATGATAAAATCCCTATCAACCACTGACTCGAGTCAAATTTTGCGATCACGCAGGGACGTTCCATAGATTTTCCGCTTTTCGCTGCCACGCATTTTCTAAGCTGACTCTAATCGGTGCCCGGCAGGTGTTGTGCCGTGTTTCTGCACTCCAACCCCAGATTCTACATAAAGAACATTGCGAATGTTGCCTTTGAATATGTTACGTGCATGTGCGTGCAATGTTTTAAGTGGAAATAAATTATTTGTATGAATATGTTCTAGTGTAGAAAAAAACGTACAAATTTGTTTCCTATCTCTGAACTAAATCTGAACTGTCACATCCAATTATATATTCATACATTTAATTACAATATTTCTATTCTGTCATGTTTTTAATAGTAAAAAATTGCTTTTGTGTACAGCCATGATGTTTGACTTGAAGCAAAAATTACAAAACTGTACCACTTTTGCCAAATATTCACAGTATTGCAATCTCCCCATTTATCTGATTTAATCTATTTTTTAAATTATACTTTCATGGGTGTTGAATTGCTGTCTGTTGTAAGTAGCGGTGCACATGTTTTTTTTGTTATCTTGACAGGGCCTATTTGGCCTGATGCTCGCCTAATAATTAAAAACAGGGGAAGTACAGTAAAACAAATGAAACATCATCAAACTGAAACGTAAAACAGCTTAAAGTTAACTAAACATTTCTCTGTCCGAGTAAACATATGAGGAGGCATATCACAACCAGAAAAATAGAATTGAGTGAATGATAATTACACCTCCGGTAATGCTTTGTTTTTTTATGGAAGGGAAATTTCGACGAAAATGTATAATAAAAAACAACTAACTAATGGAAAAAAAATTTTAGCCAAAAAATGAATCAGACCCCAAGCCTCATGTTCTCTTCTACTAAGAGCAGCTGCGCTCACAATGATCCTCAACTCCTGAGCCAGGGCCTCCAAAAAAGGTTGCCAATTTGTCCACGAATATATTATGAGTAACAAAAATTGGTATGTTGACTTATTATATATTATGCGTGTCTGATTTTTAATGTTTCCAAAATGTATATGCTTTAGTCAAACATCTGACAGACAAGTGAAATGTTGTCTCTTTTACTCACAAAAGTAGTACGAATTTGATGATATCAGCCGTAATCTTACCACGCACTTAAATACAGGGAGATATTTCAGCCAGATACCTAATGAGAATAATTGCTTGTCCAAGTCTAGCGACTTCATTGGCTGCTCCACTCCAATGTGCACAGTTGGCTACGCACGGTGCGAAAGAAGTTCAGCGTACGTGAATACGTGAAAAGCCACTTCGTTGAGCTGTCATTTGTGGCCAGGTCGTTTCCACGAAAATATATAAATAACTCACTCGACCTTACCTGGTATAATAATAAAAGTATAGTTTAGTATTTAGTTTTTTTAAACGCACCGAGCCTGGCGCAAGCGCCGTGGCGACGTCAGCAATACTTAGTGGCGAATGGTGGTCGTTGTTTAGTTTTCTCAGCCTGGTTGCGCCAACTTTTCCACACCAGCTCCAGCACTCCATCACTTTATTCTTCTTCGTCTTCTCGCTTTCTTCCCCATGTGTAATACATGTGCATGGGGCACCCCGTGCTAAGAGAAAACAGTCGTGAATTCCAAAACACCCACAGTGTCCGCACGTCGCAGTTCACATACACATATATCATTTGTTCAAATGCATCCCAGGAGTGTGCATATGTGAGCCGAGGACATACAGGCTGCTTTGCCTGTGGTCAACACGGATGCGATTTCCGAGCTAAGAAGAAGCTCCGACATGTAATGGTTTCAGATGCAAAGTCATTTCGGGTTTCTGAAAATCACAACCAGAACACTGCGGTTCAGATTTGCAGCCAAAGGGCCAGACTCGCAATGTGATGCATGCTCTGTTTTGAATGCTCTTTTTTAAATGAAAACTCCCCCAAGGCTCCTTCCACAACCATGGCGGAAATGAATATGGTGAGTCTCATACATTTCTGCAAGATGTTCATCTGGCCCTAAATCACTACCCGAGCTGGAAACTGGACTCTTCCCCATCCTTGTCACGTTTTCTTTTAGATCGTTCCCCATTGTTGTCCTGATTGTGCTATGGACGTCCTGTCAGGAGACGGAAGAATCTATTTCGATCTCTAGCGTGCGGTGCGGTCTTTCGAGAACAGCCCATGGAAGCAGATCATCAAGTGCAGAATTAAGTTGAAAGCGATGGGTTTTTGAATCCAACAACGCATTAGAGTCGACAACGCAGAATCTCAGTGATGCCACCCGGCTCAATCATAACACTATGTAACACAATTTTTGTTCCTGGGTAGTAAGTGTTATTTCGTAATTGCTTATGCCTAAAAAGTATAGAAAATGGCTATTCTTCCCCACAAACTTTGCTTTTGAAATTGACCTATTTTCTCCTTGAATTTATCAAAATGAGCATCAAGGATATGGACTTTGAGGGACATCCTACAGCCCATTGTGCTGTAGTTCTTCACCAACAATTGTCCATCTTACCTTCCAGAGTTTTTTTTGCATTGCTCGCAGGTGAAATGAGGTGCCCAGGGTTTGTCTTGATCCCCGACAGGCATGCCAAAATATGCCTTGTAGGCCTCACAGATCTTAGCAGATGCTTCCACAGAGTACTTTTTCGCTCTTGTCTTGATACATTGGCCGCAGACATAGGAAAATGCGTCTGCCGGATGCTTGCAGCCGCTTGAAGCCATCTCAGAAAAATACAGATATGTATCCACTTAGGCAGCTGGAACTAAACTGAACTGGTGGGCTTAAGGCCCCTGAATTTATACTCCTATTTATATTACTGGAAAGTTCTAGAATGTTCTAGAAGTTACATCAAGTTTACTCAGCACTGAATCTATCTGGGATGTTCTGGAAAATAGGTAAATTTCTAAATATCAATATCCTGGTCACAAAAGCAAAGTTTGTGGGGAATAATATCCATTTTATGTACTTTTGAGACATAAGCAATTAGGAAATAACACTTACTACCCAGAAACAATTGATTAAATTCAGATATAATTTTATTCACCAAATGTGACTTGATAGAATCAAATGGTGCATCATGTTTGCACTCTGCTCATAACACGTATTCAGGTCCATTCTTCTAAGTCTATACTTATCATTAATACAAAGGTAACGCTATGCATAATAAAAACGCGTATATACCCTTCTAAACATGATCAAGTAGTACGGACAAAGACAAATTGTTGGCACGGCACATTATGGCAAACAATATATAATATGTAGAACAACAATTTAATATGCGAAGGCATTGGGCCGGCAAGGGCAGATGAAGGCACTCGAGATGAAAATGGCAAACAAAGAGCTCCTCTCTGGCTGCATGCGGGGACGGCGGGTTTCATCATGCGGGCAGCAAATCACGTGGGCATTCACTTAATGCACGTGGGCTCAAGTTTTCGCATCAGCATTCGACAACGAGTGTGCGGTTCTTAATGCGATGCGCGCCATGAAGCTGGTGACCCGAATTTGATTCCCAATCATGACTGACGTGGACGGTGAGTGGCGCGTCTCTGCACCAGCTTACAGTTCTTTGATTGACAACGTTTGTATTGGCATAGTAACATACACAATTACAGTAATATGTTTACAAACACACAAAAACAACCGTGAAAGCAACCTATGTTTACGATAATAGTCATCATAATGCTTTTCTCTATCACTCATTCTTCTGGAAATGTTTCTGCATAGTGAAACATTTTGGTTTTCTTAAAAAAGAAGAAGAGCTGATGCCAAAACCCACAACAATCTAAGCATGGATTTAGTACATAACACAAAACTTACTGATATAAAAAACATTTGTTAATCCAAAACATGTAAAGATTGATATCAGGTAGAATGTGAAAAGGAGAGTTGTGAGACTGAGCTAGAGATACAAAAGGATCAAAAAGTAAAAAATCGATGATGAAGCAGTTATAAGCATCGCAGTCTTGATGCTGTCTTACGCTACCTTATAGATGTTGTGAGAAATGGTCAAGGAAGATTCTGTTTAATTAAATGAAGCAGAACCACCGTCATTGTTCAATCACTAAGTCATCACGCCTGACACATCGGTGGAAAACTTCACTCAACAGGAGTGGAAACAAAATCATGGCCGTATTTATTTAAGGTAAAATGTTTACACATTATGGTAATGATGGATGCATATATTCATCACGCAATCTCCGTTCTTATGCTCATGATATACGCATTGAATTGTGTGCTAACACGGTCATAAATTATTTACAATGTATGCAAAATACAGAAAAATCCACGTAAAAAGCGTATGCAAATTCCACCTTTAGCCTAATGGCAGTATAACCAGGCAACACGCGAGATACATAATTAAAGAATCGGGGACAGTTTTACACGATACGATAGAAACAGCACAATTGTCAAATCGAATCACAGGAGCATCGCGTTGCTTGACGATGAATCCGTGGATGAACGCAATGGGCCTTGGATCCTTGGGCTCCTAAATGGCAGTCGGAGAGTGCTCGATTGTGACCGCAGGATGGAGCAAGCGGATCTTCTACGCTTGAGTGATTTTGCAGCTGCTCCAGGCCATGAAAGTTAACCAATTGCATGTCACTGCCGGACGGTGACGTGGTGGGTGGGGGGGGGAGGTTACCATGCTGTGAACACCTGCAGGTGGGCTCACAGTTGAGAAAACGTTAAGAGTGGAAAATGCCTACGTGAAGTGAATGGTGACCGCTGTGATAAATTCTGATTTGTGATGAGTGCACGACCTTTAATGGGACGGTGGTGGTGGGTGGTGGGTGGTTGCAGGTGGCGTGACACGAGGAACTGCGATCGTTTTTGGTTTGTGTGTGAATTTGCGTGCAAGTTATGTAGATGGAGAGCCGGTGGCACAGTGGTTCACGCACAGCGCTACTCATCTGCTGGCCTCAGTTCGATTCCCATCAGTAGCAAATGAAGCTCAACTTTTCCTGCCAGTCCCTCTCCCCCCAAGTTAGCTCAGCTTTGTGTGTAAAAGTCAACACTGGGTGGTGACAAGAGGAAGGTGGCCCTGGTGTGGCTGAGGCCAAGGTCAAGGACGATAATTGAGAGAAAGAGAGGAAAAAAAGGCCACCCGTTCTGGAGGACAAAATATCTTCAGGACCCAAAACGCACGGCAGCATGGATTCGTTTTTGTAGGCTTAAACTGACATTGCTTTCATGGGGTGCGCACACACTGTGCATGTGCTTACCACGGTAGTGCTGTTTTGTTTTGGCAAAGGTAAGAAACATGTACAGGTACTCCTCTACTTACGAACATTCGACATACGAACCTTTCGAGATACGAACAAACCTGTCCGTATGTCCAGTTGCCCGTTCGGACCGAGAGTCGTAAGTTCAACCGCCGCGCAATAGATGGCAGTGGTGGCATCTACATATGCGGAACATGAAGAACCAGTGGCTTATACATCTACAGGAGATTTTACAACTTGTTAAGCCATTCCCCGTGTTTAGCGTACATGCCGTACAGCATGCTTGAGATTGACAGGAGTAAAGTTGGAATAAAAAAAAAATCGACTTACGAACAGACCTCTGGAATCCCTGTATATGTTTCTCGTTCCACGACAGGCAGTCACTTCAACAGCAAACACACCTCGCTGTGCACTGTTAGCCAGCATCGGCTCACAGAGTCTGAACAGAGCCTGAACCAGATGCAGGATAAGATCTGAAGGTAGGTGCTACCCAGGGAGGCTAACAAGGTGCCTGGCAAAAATAATAATAATGGCATTACAACTTCAGCAGATGCCTTTGTTTGTTTGTTTGGACTTGTGCCACCTCTGAGGTACAAAAAAACAATAAAAACCTACAACATCATGGGGAACTGCACGTAAATGTATCGTCTTCAATGTCTGGTTCGCGTGAAACTGTCAAACACCGGAACTTGCGTCCCGGTCTAGCATGTAATTGCACTTTCCGATCGTCCATACTCGTGTAATATCCACTCCCACGGTGGTTATTCCAAACGTATCATCCACTCCAGATAACGGATGTAGGAAAAACCCTAACCTTTGCAAATGTCACGAAAGTTTAACCCTTCTAAATGTACATAAATATACACGTATTACTTTGCATGAATATTATATATATGAATTATGCAACATAACGGTCGTATTTCACATTAAGAAATATAACTGACAAACCTGGCTAATTGGTACATCTTTGCATGCACATGCTAAATGCAGTCACTCCTCCCCTAAAGTTCACCTTTCATCCCTGGCTTGAGTCCTTTGTGGGTCGGACTTAGTTCCTACCTGCCAATCACAACCAATCAACCAACCAGCAATTAACTCCGATTGTTAAACTGGTTCACCTGCAGGGCTGTTCTGATGTTGTCAAGGCACCTACTTAGGGGCCAGGATGAGGGGGGGGGGAGCTCTTTCACCTGATGATGCTGAATGTAATCTCCAGAGAAACGTCGTACAACAGTGTAAAACATTTTGCTTGCATTCGACACTCCTCTGGTTTTCTGACAAAACAACTGGCGTGTTTGCCCACGTGACCACTTGATTTGATTGGCTCTGTCGGGTGGTGGAGGTTAATATAGTAAAACAAAAATTTCACGTTATAACTCCACGATCAAAATAAACTAATTATGAACATTGGCCGTGAAAAACCTACATATGAAACGAAACCCCTTCCAAAGCAGTGCTAAGAGGCCTTGGTTAGCCTCTTGTGGCCAAACCGCCATCTTGGCCGACCACAATTTCCTGAACGAGTGCGTCGTCTTCACACAAACGTCCGCCCGATATTTTATAACCCGTTGAGTCATTACTAAGCGGACAGAAGAAGATGGAAGGACTTTCACTGTGCCCATATCTTGGCAGAGCCGGCACCGTTAATCTTCAAAGCAAGTGCTGCTTTCTAACATTCGATTAAATTCACTGGAGCAGTGCCCCTGTGCTGTCTGGGCAATGAGTGGGTGGCTCGGCTGAGATGGTTACAGGCGATTGTGTGCGCACCCTGCTTTGTGGAGAAGTGATGGCAGCAGAGTTTGCAATAAGAAGTAATATTTAAAAATATTTTTTTAAACACGCTTTAATGAAATGTACCCTACTCGTAATGACTCCAGGAAGTTCCCGCAAAGCTTGCCATAACCTAAGGAGCCATGGTGATTTACAGCCAACGTCAGTTGAGCGTTGACAATTAGACCCAAGCCGAAGCATAACACATCAAAATGAATGTCTAAAAATAATTTTTATATAGAATATAGTATTGTCATTAGTATGACACAAGTATCCCAAGTTTGCAGTCGATACCACATTGGGAAGTGGGTTAAAATTGAGTTACAAGATTTGAGGATACAACAACAACAGACAGAGTGAATTAAATAAAAGTGTGTAATAAAAATAACTTCTCTTTCATGTTGTTTAACGTTCACGAAAGCATATACATTTGTATGATTGTTATTTCTATATTCTACAGTTGTGTTTTAATCTTGGCAAAGTTTAACCCTTTGAGCTAAGAATTAAATTTTGGACAAAATTGCCATATTTTTATTTTATCTCACTTTTCACTCAGTGGACACAATTGCACATTTTCACGAACGAAAATGTCCGATGTTAAGGGACATTCGCCAACATTTGAATTAGGTACCATACTTGAAAAAAGAAAAACTGTCAAAGTAATTGGATAT